CACCTAGGCAGCTCTGGACCATTAGCCTGCCTGGTTAGTTGCCTTGGGAAAGGCCATTCCTCTGTTCTAGCAAATGAGCATGTATTCAGTAGCTGGTCTTACCAGGAGGAATCAGCTCACTGCGTGGGCTACTTGGGAATTTTCCTTGACATCACCAGGTCCTTATTATTGTTATTATTATATGTTACCAGAGCTGGGTGCTGGTGGCTCATAACTGTAATTCTAGCTACTCTGGAGGCCTAAGATCTGAGGATCACAGTTGGAAGCCAGCCCAATCAGAAAAAGTACATGAGATACATCTCTAATTAACCAGCAAAAAGTGGGAAATGTAGCTGTAGTTCAAGTGGTAGAGCACTAGCTTTGAGGGAAAAAAAACTTAAGGGACAGCTGCTAGGCTTTGAGTTTAAGCTCCAGTATTAGCACAATAAATAAAATGTCACCAGAACAAAATAAACCGTACTAATGTTCACTGAACACAAAGTATAACCCCTCTCCTACCCCTCCTACCCCGCCTGAATTGCCTCCCTGACCCCAGGACAGGTTCTCCACCTGCCCCCCTTCTAGAGAAAGAAGACAGATATTTCTTGTTCTTCCTATTTGTGTGTTTTGTGCCTGTGGTCCTGGGGCTTGAACTCAAGACCTGGGTGCTGTCCCTGAGCTTTTGTGCTCAAGGCTAGCACTCTACCACTTGTGCCACAGCTCTATTTCTGGCTTTTTGGTGGTTAACTGGAGATTAGAGTCTCATAGACTTTTCTGCCCAGGCTGGTTTTGAATCCCAAACCTCATATCTCAGCCCATCCTGAGTAGTTAGGATTACAAGCATGAGCCATTGGCAACTGGCTTTGACCATTACCATCTTTTTTTTTTTTTTTTGCCAGTCATGGGGCTTGAAGTCTGAGCCTAGGTGCTGTCCCTCAGCTCTTCAGCTCAAGGCTAGTGCTCTACCACTTGAACCACAGCACCACTTCTGGCTTTTTCTGCTTATGTAGTGCTGAGGAATCGAACCCAGGGCCTCATGCATGCAAGGCAAGCACTCTACCCCTAAGCCACTGTCCCAGCCCCAACCATTACCATCTTAGTGAACATTACACCTCACTCTCTAAAAGGAAGAGAGAGAGAAACACCACCTCCAGCCAAAGAATGGACTGCAGTCTGTGAGCCACGTTCCGCCAGGAGGCCAGGAGGTACTCTGAGAATGATGGTCAAATCAGGAAACAAGGTCTTCATTTACTGTGAGGTGGCCCAACCTGGCCACCTCCCACTTCCAACTGTCTATGCTTTGTGTTATAACTGAACCAACAAGCCTGGAGATGTGGCCCATGCCTGCAATCCTGGTTACTCAGGAGAATGAGATTGGGAAGACTGACTGAAGCTCCTGGCTAGTCCTGGTAAAAGTTGGTGAGACTCTCATCTCAATCAATAAAAATCTGGGAGTAGTACTATGTGCCTGTCACTTGAGCTATGCAGGAAGCATAAATGGGGTCAAGATGCAGGCTAGCTCCAGCAAAAAATCTGAAGCCTGCTGGGTGCTGGTGACTCAAATCTATAATCCTAGCTACTCAGGAGGTGGAGATCTGAGGATTACAGTTTGAAGCTAGCCTGGGCAGGAGTCTCTTACACTCCTATTTCCAATTAACCAACCATCAATAAGTCAAAAATAGGGGCTGGGAAGGTGGTAGAGTGCTTGCCTTGCATGCATGAGGCCCTGGGTTCGATTCCTCAGCACCACATAAGCAAAAAAGGCTGATGCTATGGCTCAAGTGGTAGAGCACTAGTTTTGAGCTGAAGAGCTGAAGGACAGTGCCTAGGCCCAGAGTTCAGCCTTCATGAATAACAACAACAAAAAAAAGTCAAAAATAGCATTGTGACTCAGTGTTAGACTGCTAGACATGAGCACAAAAACTCAGGGACAGTGCAAGGGCCCTGAGTTTAAAAGGCCCCAGGAGCCTGGCGCCAGTGGCTCACGCCTGTAATCCTAGCTACTCAGGAGGCTGAGATCTGAGGATCACAGATCACAGTTCAAAGCCAGCCCAGGCAGCAAAGTCCGTGAGACTCTGATCTCCAATAAAACCACTAGAAAACCGGAAGTGGCGCTGTGGCTCAAGTGGTAGAGCGCTCGCCTTGAGCTGAAGAGCTGAGGGACAGCACCCAGGCCCAGAGTTTAAGCCCCACGACCAACCAAAAAAAAAAAGAAAAGAAAGAAAGAGAGAGAGAGAGAGGGAGGGAGGGAGGGAGGGAGGAAGGAAGGAAGGAAGGAAGGAAGGAAGGAAGGAAAGGAAGCCAATGGTCTGGTAGAGTGGCTCAAGTGGCAATAAAATAAATTGACCAACAAAACCCAGTATGCTGGGCATACCTGTAATTTCATCTTCACAAAGGGCAGGCACTATAACAAAGTAGGGGCTAGGGTGGGATGGTGGGGGACAGGGTGAGGAGGAAGAAGAGGAGGAAGGGACCTGAATGAAGCTAAGTGCAAGGCTGGCTGAGCTGAAAAACAAACCTCTTATCAAGAAGCTCAGAAGCCAGGGAAAAAGAGAACTCTGGAAACAATTAACACTTGATAAGGAATGGCTTCAGGTGAACCCAGCAGGATCAGTATTAGAGCCTGAGCTAGCCTGCATCTCTGCAGTAGAAGGATGGAATTCCAAGGGGTGCTGATTGGGGTGGGGATGCATTGCAGGCTCCATGGTAGCCTCATGGGTTGGTGGCTGCAGCACAGGACATGTAGCATGTGTGGGCAGTGGGGATGCAGTGGTGGAAGGGTAGACTCTTTGTATTTATTTGGACCTATCCTGAACATGTGCCTGCCTGCCTGCTTTCCTGCCTTCCTTTCTTTCTTGCCTGCCAGTCCTGGGGCTTGAGATATAGGCCTGGGCACTTTCCTGAATCATTTGCTCAAGTTTAGCATTCTACCATTTGAGCCACAACACCACTTCTGACTGTTTCTGTGGTTAATTGGAGATAAGAATGTCACCATCGGGGCTGGGAAGGTGGCTCAATGGTAGAGCGCTTGCCTTGCATGCATGAGGCCCTGGGTTCGATTCCTCAGCACCACATGAGCAAAAGGAAAAAAGCCGGAAGAGGTGCTGTGGCTCAAGTGGTAGAGCGCTAGCCTTGAGTTGAAGAGCTGAGGGACAGCACCCAGGCCCCACGACCGGACCCCCCCCCCAAAAAAAATTAAGAATGTCACCATAGGGCTGGGAATGTGGCTTATTGGTAGAGTGCCTGCCTAGCATGAATGAAGCCCTAGTTTGATTCCTCAGTACCACATAAACAGAAAAAGCCAGAAGTGGTGCTATGGCTCAAGTAGTAGAGCACTAGCATTGAGCACAGAAAGGCTCAGGGGCAGATCCCATGCCTAGAGTTCAAGCCCTAGGACTGGAAAAGTGTCATCATAAACTTTCTTGCCCAGGCTGGCTTTGAGCCACATTCTCAGATCTCAGCTTCCTGAGTAGCTAGGATTATAGGTGTGAGCTCTTGCCCTGCAAGGATCACAAGTTTTTGGTCAATCCAGGAAAACTGTTACCTCCAAAGCAAATTAGAGGGCTGGGAATGTGGCTCAGTGGTAGAGTGCTTGTCTCGCATGCAGGAGGCCCTGGGTTCTATTCCTCAGTACCAAATAAGCAGAAAAAGCCGGAAATGGTGCTGTGGCTCAAGTTGTAAGTAACTAGCCTTGAGCTGAAGAGCTGAGGGATAGCGCCCAGAGTTTAAGCCCAAGGACCCACAAAAAAAAAAAAAAAAAAAGGAAGCAACCAAGAAAGCAAGCTCCATTGGAGATCACTATCTTAAGAAATCAGTGTCCAAGGAGCTGGGAAGGTGGCTCAGTGGTAGAGCGCTTGCCTTGCATGCATGAGGCCCTGGGTTCGATTCCTCAGCACCACATAAGCAAAAGGAAAAAAGCCGGAAGTGGTGCTGTGGCTCAAGTGGTAGAGTGCTAGCCTTGAGCTGAAGAGCTGAGGGACAGCACCCAGGCCAACAGTTCAAGCCGCACAACAAAGGAAGGAAGGAAGGAAGGAGAGAGAAAGAAAGAAAATAAACTAGTAACAGGAGTGTGGTGGGGTAAATAGAGACAACTAGGTGGCACCTGTGGTGAAGAGTCCCCTTCCCTAAGGAGGCCTGTGGGAAATTTGTCTTAAGGAAAACATCTGTAGCCCAGGAGGATGAGGAAGTGAGGGCAGAGCATTGGGAGCTCTTGGGTGTGCAATTCAAATGGTGCTCCTAGGAAGAAAAACGAGTCAGCAAGGCCCTTGGGACAAATAACAGCCAATCAGCATAAGCTTTCAGTTTATTTTTTGGTACCAGATCTGGGGCTTGAATTTAGAGCTTAGCACTGCCCCTGAGCTCTTTTGGGCAAGGCTGGTGTTCTACCATTTTGAGCCACAGATCTAGTTCCAGCTTTTTATTTTTAATTGGTCATGGGGCTTGAATTCTGGGCCTGGGCATGGTCCTTCAGCTCTTCTGCTCAAGGCAAGCACTCTACCACTTGAACCACAGCACCACTTCCGGTTTTCTACTGGTTAACTGGAGATCAGAGTCACATGGACTTTCCTGCCCAGGCTGGCTTTGAACTGCGATCCTCATCTCAGCCTTCTGAGTAGCTAGGATTATAGGTGCGAGCCACCAGTGCCTGGCTCTTGTTTTTATTTTTTATTTTTTTTGAGACAGGGTTTTATTGTATAGCCCAAGATGGCCTCAAACTCACTTTTCTGCTTTAGAGGGCATTTTATATAAAAAGACAACTGAATCAGACCTTTCTTTACAACTTTTTTTTTTTAATTCATCATCTAATCAACAGAGGTGGTCACTTGAAGCCAAAAATAAGCTAAGGCAATTCAAAATTCCCAAAATGTCTGCCTTCTTACCATGCAACAGGATGAAGTTAGGAATGGGGACGGAGCATGTAGGATTAGACAGGAGGTCTCTGGCTCCATCATCTGCACCCTCTACCCGCCCCCCCTCAGTCATAAACAAATACTTGCTTTTGAAAGAAGGAGGGGAGTTGGTATGTTGTGATCTGGACCATGGCTCCATTTCTTTACTTGAAGCAGGGTCAGGAAGGGCAACAGCCTGTCTTGAGAGACAGCGGGAGTTGGTTCCTGAACCTGAGTTTACTGGGGACTGTGCTGGGCTACTACTTAATCCTGTTGTTTTCCGGAACTCTTTGCACCTGGGCTCCCCACATGGTGGCCACAAGCCTGAGGGAGGCACCTTTCAGAGCAGTCGCCAGGGACCTGCCTGGCTGGGGGTCAGCTGAAGCACTCCATGCTGGCTCTGACGCGCTCCATCTCATGCAGGAAGCTGTAGAACTGAGGCAAGGTTAATTCTGCAAGAGAAGAGTTCAGCTGCAGTGAGTATTCCCAGCTCTGCAGAATTTCCAGAGAAAATTCATTTCCACCCAGAGATTTTCTTCTATTTTAGTGCTGGGGGCAGAACCCCAACTCAGGAGGGCCTTATGCATGCTAGGCAAGAGTTCTACTCCCCCACCTAGCCAAGCAGCTCAGATGTCCTCAATAAAGAACACAGACGGGCTGGGAAGGTGGCTTAGTGGTAGAGCGCTTGCCTTGCATACATGAGGCCCTGGGTTCGATTCCTCAGCACCACATAAGCAGAAAAAGCAGGAAGTGACACTGTAGCTCAAGTGGTAGAGCGCTAGCCTTGAGCTGAAGAGCTGAGGGACAGCGCCCAGGCCAGAGTTCAGGCTCCATGACCAGCAAAAAAAAAAAAAACCACAGAGGCTCTCCAGAAAAGAGAGTGAGCTATTGAGATGCAAATACCTAAGTCCTTTAGGAGGACCAATGTGACTTGTGCCACAAGAGCTTCTGGCCTTCAATCCAAGCCCCCTTTTTTTTTTTTTTTAAATGCTAGTCCTAGCTAGGGCTGGAGCTCAGGGCCTGGCTGCTGTCCCTGAGCTACTTTTGCTCAAAGCTAGCCCTCTACCACTTGAGCCACAGTACCACTTCTGGCCTTTTCTGTGTATGTGGTACTGAGGAATCAAACCCAGGGCTTCATGCTTGCTAGGCAAGCACTCTATCACTAAGCCACATTCCCAGCCCACTCCCCCCCCATTCTCTTCTTCCAAAAATGTTGTTCTACTGAGGTTTCTACCCTGGGGGCAGCTTAATGATACTCCTGTCTCCAGCACCTCGCATAATCTTTATGTTTTGGCAGTCTTGGGGATGAACTAATATAATAAGGGCTTGGGGTTCAAATTCTACCACTTGAGCTGTGGCTCAGTCGCATCCAGACCCATCTTGTAGGAGAGGAAAGGAGTAGACTGGCTATTCCACAGCAGTGATGACCCTGTCTCTGGAAGGGAGGTTTATGGCTGCTGAGGACAGCGCAGGGAAGTGGAAGGGCATGTGGCAGAGTTCTGACTCACCTATATACACGTTTTCAGTTTGGTTCCCTTTCTTGACCACCAATTTTAGCTGGTTACAAAAAAGAAAGAAAACACTTAAATTAAAATGTTAACTAGACAGAGAACCCCCTGCCCCCAGACCACTTCACATAATCGGCACTGAATCATCCCAGTATCTGGCACAAGCTAAACATAACCCTACTCGGGCTCCACCCCAGCTACGATCAAGGGTACCAACTTGAAAGCCACACAGAAGCAGGCTGCATCGCCACCACCAGCAATTCTATTCCTTTTTTTTTTTTTTTGGTACCAGTACTGGGGTTTGAACTCAGGGCCTGGGCACTGTCCTTGAGCTTTTTCATTCAAGGCTGGTGTTCCTTCACTTTAGCCATAGCTCTCTAATGACTTTTTGCTGGGTCTCATGGATTTTTTTTTTTTTTTTTGCCAGTCATGGGGCCTGAACTCTGGGCCTGGGCGCTGTCCCTCAGCTCTTCAGCTCAAGGCTAGTGCTCTACCACTGGAGCCACAGCGCCACTTCCAGCTTTTTCTGTTTATGTGGTGCTGAGGAATCAAACCCAGGGCCTTATGCATGCAAGGCAAGCACTCTACCGCTGAGCCACCTTCCCAGCCCCTCATGGACTTTCTTGTGGCTTCGAACCTCAGTCCTCACATCTCAGCCTCTTGAGCAGCTAGGATTATAGGTACAAGCAACCAGCACACAGCGAATTATGTACTTTTGAGATAGGGTGCTACTATGTTGCCCAGACTGGTCTCAAATCTCAATCCTCACACTAGGATTACATGAGTGCCCCACCATACCTGGATATAACCTTTTTTATTTTTTGGAGGGGTCAGGGGTGGGGGGGGCGGTAATGGCATTTGAACTAAGGGTTTTCCTGGGGCTTGAACTCTGGGCCTGGGCATTGTTCCTTAGTTCTTCAACTCAAGTCTAGCGCTCTACCACTTGAGCCACAGCACCACTTCTAGTTTTCTGGTGGTTTATTGGAGATAAGAGTCTCACAAGAGGGGCGTCAAGGCTAGCGCTCTACCACTTGAGCCACAGTGCCACTTCCGGCTTTTTTCTTTTTGTTTATGCGGTGCTGAGGAATCGAACCCAGGGCCTCAGGCATTCAAGGCAAGCGCTCTACCACTGAGCAACCCTCCCAGCCCCAGGAAAGTCTGTGAAACTCTTATCTTCAATAAACCACTAGAAAACTGGAAGTGGCATTGTGGCTCAAGTGGCAGAGCGCTCGCCTTGAACTGAAGAGCTGAGGGACAGCGCCCAAACCCAGAGTTCAAGCCCCACGACCGACCAAAAAAAAAAAAAAGAGTCTCACGGACTATCCTGCCCAGGCTGGCTTTGAACCATGATCCTCAGGTCTCAGCTACCTGAGTAGCTAGGATTACAGGCTCCTGGCTTGAACTAAGGGTTTTCTTGCTGGGTAGGTAAGCAATCTACTATTTGACCCTCAACCCTAACCAATTTTATTCTATTTTTGTTTTATTTGTTTATTTATTTATTTTTGCCTGTTCTGGGGCTTGAACTCAGGGCCTGGGCACTGTCCCTGAGTTTCTTTTGCTCAAGGCTAGCACTCTACCACTTGAGCCATAGTGCTAGTTCCAGCATTTTCTGTGTTTGTGGTACTGAGAAATTGAACCCAGGGCTTCATGTGTGCTAGGCAAGCACTCTTCCACTAAGCCACATTCCCAGCCCCTAACCAATTTTAAACAATTCAAAAATCTCCCCATGCAGATAAGACTTACTTGTAAAAAAATACTTCCCACTTTCTCCAATTCACTACTCCCTGATGTCACTGTAACAAAAGAAACATAGCAAGTGACTGACTGATGACTTTCCCCGAAGACCCCAATTTTTCAGGTGGTCCACAGGCAGCCTGTTTGAGACTAAGGAAGTATCCTCCCACCCAGGGTCTCCAAAAGCCTTTGCAACCCCCAGGCCAGCCCCACACAAGGACTGGCTCTCACTAGTTACCTCCAAACCTCCACTCCATATCGATAAGCTGGTTAATCATCAGGGTCTGACCAATGGCCCGTCGTGCCAGGATGGGCGCATTCTGCTTCCACTGAAACAAAAGCAAGGAGGTAAACTCATCCTAAGGGGCTAGATGTCCCCCTCTTCATTCTGCTCCAAGCAGTCATGTTGATGGTTCATGCATATAGTGGGAAGAACGGAACCAAGGGCTAGGCCCACATGACAGAATCAGAGGCTAAAGAAATCCAATGTTTTCTCTGCATTTTCTTTTTTCTTTTTTGCTGGTCCTGGGGCTTGAAATCTGGGCCTGGGCACTGTCTGTAAGCTTTTGTGCTCAAGGCTAGTGCTCTACCACTTGAGCCACAGCTCTACTTCTGGCTTTTTGTGGTTAATTGGAGATAAGAGTCTTATGGGCTTTCCTGCCTTGGCATTTCTCTGCATTCTAAGACCTTATTCATGTTGGAATATACACTGCATGACATTGCTATTCAGTCAATTCAGAGGGGGAAAATGAGAGATATATTAAGCAGTGCTGGTTAAAAGCAGCATGAGGGTTGTTTGTATGAAACCAAAGCAATGAGGTGATGAGGCTTTTGTCTTGCTCAGCATTTTCTACACTTTTCTTTCCATGAAATACAAGTCAATGATCTTAACCTTGATTAAGAGGAATTATACCTTTTCAGAAAAGTAAGTGGCTCTCTCCTCACTAAGACCTGGAAGAGAACAGAAGGATTCATTAACATAATTTAAAGCCCAGAGGCCCGCTCCCAGGTCAGCCTTGTATAAATGACCTACCCAGAGTTATGAGATCTGCCTGGACCTGCTCTGCTGTGAGGTTCTTCTTCAAGGCACCTGGGAGGCAGGGAGAAATCATGGAATAAGTGCACCCTCCGTATCTGAGAGAAACAGCTTCTATGTCACAGAGCTACAAAGGCTCCATGAAGGTGTCCTGCCAGCTGGGGAGAAAATGCACTTGGAAATTGGGCAAGACAACGTGCTTGTTAGCTGCAGGTTTACTCTCTCCACCCACCACTAATCTCCAAGGTGGGTGCACAGATTAGAGACCACAGAAAGGTTGTGGGATGATAACTAAGAAGAAGGAGTGTGGCTATAGATTACTGGGGCAAAGGGTAAGGAGAATGTGGAGGGGCAAGCCGGGGAGAGGAAGACTTGATGGCAGCCTGGTAAAGCACTTGTTGTGTGAGACCACCAACATTTTCATTGTAATTCAATAAATATTAGTCATAGAGGACTGGGAATGTAGCTTAGTGGTACAGTGCTTGCCTAGCATGCATGAAGCCCTGGGTTCAATTCCTCAGTACCTATATACAGAAAAAGCCGGAAGTAGTGCTGTGGCTCAAGTGGTAGAACGCTAGCCTTGAGCAAAAGAAGTTCAGGGACAGGTGCTCAGACCCTAAGTTCAAGCCACAGGACTGTCAAAAAAAAAGCTGGCCATAGTGGCTTGTGCCTGTAGCTCCAGCTACTTAAAGGCTTAGTTAGGAGAAACACTTGAATGCAGGAGTTAGAACCCTGTTTCAAAATAAATGAAGAAAATTACAATTCCATATTGAATCCTTGCCTTTCACTTTGTACTAATATCAGTTCAAAGTGGATCAAAGGCCTCAGTGTAAGGCCTGAAACCTTGAAACTATTACTAGGAAGGTAGAAAAAAACACTAGAGCTGGGCGCCGGTGGCTCACGCCTGTAATCCTAGCTACTCAGGAGGCTGAGATCTGAGGATCATGGTTCAGAGCCAGACTGGGCAGGAAAGTCCTTAAAACTATCTCCAATAAACCACTAGAAAACTAGAAGTGGGGCTGGGAAGGTGGCTCAGTGGTAGAGTGCTTGCCTTGCATGCATGAGGCCCTGGGTTTGACTCCTCAGCACCACATAAGCAAAAAGAAAAAAGCTGGAAGTGGCGCTGTGGCTCAAGTGCTAACCTTGAGCTGAAGAGCTGAGGGACAGTGTCCAGGCCCAGAGTTCAGGCCCTACAACCAGACCAAAAAACAAAACAAAACAAAACCGGAAGTGGCACTGTGGCTCAAGTGGTAGCCTTGAGCTGAAGAGATGATGGACAGTGCCCAGGCCCAGAGTTCAAGCTCCATGACTGACAACAAAACAAAACAAAACAAAAGAAAAAAACAGAGGGGCTGAGAAGGTAGCTCAGTGATAGAGTGTTTGCCTTGTATGCATGAGGTCCTGGGTTCAATTCCTCAGCACCAGATAAGTAGAAAAATCCAGAAGTGGCACTGTGGCTCAAGTGGTAGAGGGCTAAGCCTTGAGCTGAAGAGCTGAGGGACAGCGCCCAGGCCTAGAGTTCAGGCCCCATAACTGACAAAAACAAAAAACAAAACAAAAAAAACCCCACTAGAACTCATTGGACTATGTAGGAACTTCCTGAATAAAATTCCAGGGGCTCCATGAATAGGAGAAAGAATTGATAAATGGGATTGCATCAAACCAAAAAGCTTCTGAAGAGCTTCTAAAAAACCTTCTGAATGAGAGATCTTTGCTAGCATTATATCTGACAAGGGTCTAATGATCAGAACATACAAGGAGGTCTAAAAAACTACTCCCCGATAACTTAATTAACAAATGAGTAAAGGAGCTAAATAGACATTTCTCAGAAGAACCAATGGCCACTAAATATATAAAGAAATGCTCAGTATGCCTGGCCATGAACCAAATGCCAATCAAAACAACACTGAGGTTTCATCTCACTCCAGTCAAGAACTACTACAGCCAGCTGGGTGGCAGTGGCTCACGCCTGTAATCCTAGCTACTAAGGAGGCTGAGATCTGAGGTTCACAGTTCGAAGCCAGCCCAGGTAGGAACATCTGTGACACTCTTATCTCTCCAATTAGCCACCAGAAAACCAGAAGTGGCACTGTGGCTCAAGAGTCACAAGAGCTCAAGAGCGCTTGCCTTGAGCTGAAGAACTTAGGGACAGTGCCCAGGTCCAGAGTTCAAGCTCCAGGACCAACAAAATAAAAAAAGGATACAGGTTGACCCATTGTAACAATGAGATGTATGAGACACTATGTTTTTTTGTTTTTGTTTTATTGTGAAAATACCATACAGAGGGGTTACAATTACATGGGCAAGGTAATGAGTACATTTCTTATCAAGCATTGTTGCCTCCTCCTTTGTTTCCCCTTACCATTCCTTCCCATCTCTATCCCCCGCCCCAAGACACTATGCTGAAGAAGAACTTTACAACTTGGGGGGTGAGGGGGGGAGGGAAGGGATGGGATGGTAGGGGAAAAACAAAGGAGGGGGTAACAATGCTCCATAGGAAATGTACTCATTACCTTACTCCTGTAACTGTAACCTCTCTGTCAGTATCTTTACAATAAAAAAAAAAAATACAGCATACACAGGGGTGGGTAGCCATGAACAACATGGACAAATGGAAACCAGGAAACTGAAATGTGTCTGGTTTGCAGGGTCAGGGATAAAAGAAAGGGAACAGATGGAGGGAAGATAGGAGGGCAAATACAGGCACAAATCTCAATGTACGTTTGTGAAAATAAACCAAGGTAACTTGATGAGAGGTGGGGATGGGATAGATGGGAGGGGGTAGTCAAGGAAGAGATGGCATTGATCAAGTGGATTGTAGTCATTAATGGACATGTTAATTGAAACCCCTAGCCAGGTGCTGGTGGCTCATACCTGCAATCCTAGCTACTCAGGATGCTGAGATCTGAGGATTGCAGTTTGAAGCCTGCCTGGGCAGGACATGGGCAGGAAAAACTCCATGAAACTCTCCAACTGACCACCAGAAAACTAAAAGTGGTACTGTGGCTCCAAAGTGGTAGAGCACTAGCCTTGAGGAAAAGAGCTCAGGAACAGAGCTCATACATACCCTGAGTTCAAGTCCCATGAACGACAACAAACAAATAAAACAATACAAAACAAAACAAGCCATAAGTGGAGCTATGGCTCAAGTGGTAAAGTGCTAGCCTGAGCACAAAAGCTGAGGGATAGTGCTCAAGCCCCAAGTTCAATCTCCAGGATCGGCATCTAAATAAAGAAGTAGAAACCCCTTGAATAAGCCACATAGACACAAGCACTAGAGTGGACAGAGTAGATTCTAGGCCATATCCATCTGTACAAAAAGCTCCACTGGAGTTGGGATGTAGCTCAGTGACAAGGTAGTTGCCTAGTAAGTGCAATGTCCTGGGTTCGATCCCTAGTACAAAAAAAGGAAGCAAAAAATAAGTGCTCTGGCTCAAAATGCTAGAGCACTAGCCTTGAACAAAAATGCTCAGGAACTGAGTTCAATCTCTATGACCGACAGAAAAAAAAAAAAAAAAAGGAAGCAACCAAGAAAGCAAGCTCCATTGGAGATCACTATCTTAAGAAATCAGTGTCCAAGGAGCTGGGAAGGTGGCTCAGTGGTAGAGCATTTGCCTTGCATGCATGAGGCCCTGGGTTCGATTCCTCAGCACCACATAAGCAAAAAGCCGGAAGTGGCGTTGTGGCTCAAGTGGTAGAGCGTTAGCCTTGAGCTGAAGAGCTGAGGGACAGCGCCCAGGTCCAGAGTTCAGGCCCCACGACCGGACCCAAAAAAAAAAAAAAGAAATCAGTGTCCATGCAGTAGCCTAGATGGGTTGAATGGGCTGGCCACCACAGCTCACAGTCACCTCTAGAAGGGTAGGTACCCTGGCTTCCCCTTAGAAGCCTGTATAACTCCCCACTGGCCTGCTCGGTCTGCTTTTAAGCCTTGGTTCCTGAGGGGAGAGGGGGGAAGGGTGGGCAGCATCCTGGACTTCTTAATATTTAAACTTCAGGCTGCAGCTATCAAAATTTGGCAATCACTTAAAAATGTCTCATTTACTATGAAGAAGAAGATGATGATGGATGATGATAGTGATGATGTAGTTGTACAAAGAGACTATAATTCCATAAGTCAGGTTTTAAGTACATTTCTTGGTCAATGTCACCCCTTCCTTCAGTCTACCCCTTTACCCCCTTCCATCCCTACCCTCAAGTTACATATTCTGTTTTTACATGATGTACATTGAATATAATCACCACATTTATTTACCCTTCTCCCTATTCCTGCACCCCTCCCACTGCCCTGTCTCCAAAACCATTTCCACTGCTTAATCACCAAGAAGCCATCCATTGCTATGGAGGGAGTGTTCAGAATATACACTGGAAGCTCCTGTTCCTACCCCCATCTCGCTCCAGGAAAACAATCCTAAAGGCTGTGGTGCCTTGAGAAATCAATCCTTTAAACAAAGAGAGGAAATCTTTTATCTCTAAAATCAGATGGAGCAAGGAAGCCACTGTGAAATTTAAAAAAAGTCCCAACCCCAGGAAACCTCCTCCATGCAGGCTCTGGGGAAAGGACTGTTTCCTAGACTATCCAATTAACTCCTACCTACCATGTACAGTCCCTTAGTTAATCCCAGCTCAAGCTGGGCACCAGGGACTCACACCTATAATCCTAGCTACTCAGGAGGCTGAGATCTGAGGATCATGGTTTGAAGCTAGCTTGGGCAGAAAAGTCCCCCGTGAGATGCTTATCCAATTAACCACTCAAAAAACCGGAAGTGGAGCTGTAGCTCAGTTGGTAGAATGCTAGCCTTGAGCACAAAGAGACTCAGGGACAGTGCCCAGGCCCTGAGTTCAAGGAGCCTGGAAATGGCGTTGTGGCTGAAGTGGTAGAGTGCTAGCCTTCAGCTGAAAAGCTGAGGGACAGCACCCAGGCCCAGAGTTCAGACAAAAAAAGAAAGAAAGAAAGAAAGAAAATCACTTGCCAATCACCCACAGGGCCATATCCTTGCTAAGTATCAAAATAAAATCAAACTCAATAGTGCTGTTGTTGCCAGGCAACCTGGGGT